ATTCAACTTGAGTAAGCAGAATTATTTAAGAATGTCTGATGCCTTTTCTATTGATTTCTATATTTTCAAATTCTCTCTTTATAAAGATTATATGATAAATCTATAACTTATAGAATTATTTTTTCTTTTTAAAGTTATCATCCATATTCTATGGAGTATTTTGATTACCCAATTTTATTTGTCAGAAATCTGGAATTCGCTTGTGCAGTTTATAGATTTTAATCAAGTGTATACATCTTTAAGTATATATACCTATACCTCTTCGAATTCATGAGCCTGATCAGTAGCTATTTTCATCAGCAATTTTCATGATGAATCCCTCACTTAAAAGCGAAAGACAATACAATATGAACCGCGATAGAGGCACTTTCTTCAGAAATAACTCGTCGACAATTCGCTAAACAAACGATTCCTCTGTTCCCTTTTTTCCTTCAATGCAGAGAGGGCCGATTTGTTTCCTTGTTTTTTTGACATTATTGTCTTTAAAACACGCAATGTTCACCAATGAGAATAACGCGAACGACATGCTTTCATATGAGCCAATAATGAACCATGCGAGTGTTTACCCTATTTTTTGGTTTTTTCTTTGAAATCTCGATATTGTGCATCAGGCTGTGTTGAGATTCTATTGAAATTCTACACAAATATATCAGAGGATGATGATTGAAATGATGAGCTTGAGTTTTGCATTTAAAAATCTTGCATATATTTTTTCATAATTTCGTCACTGATTGAAATATAATGAATGTCATAAAATTCGGACAGAATTTGTCAATTTTAGCGTAACTTGAAACTTTTTTCTAATTTTGGAGAGACATAATACACCCGGTACGTGAGGTGAGAATAATATTGGTTGGTTTAATGACAATATGGGTGCTTGGACTGAGTTGGGATAGTAGGTATTTCGTTTGTATTATATAGCCATATCTCTCTGATGTGAACTAAGCCGCAGGCTTATTATATACATATGTATCCGAATATCTCAGCGTATGTCAAAATTACACGCCATTCTGGTGTCGTGAACACGATACATATATACATATAAATTCTACACACCTATTCGAAATTCTGATGATGCTAACTTTGCCGCATTTCACGGCCTCAAGCCAATTTTGCAGTACTGATATCATCTGCTATATGTGTACATTACATACGATCTTGTTCATGAATTTGCCATGGGCAATTTCGCGGAAATACAAAAATTAGAATTCAAATTTTTAAAAAATCCCCGACTCGTACAGTGTTCAGAATAATATCGTCATGTTGAATGATGAAAATAGGAAGAGGGCTGATGAAAGAAAGATATGAGCATATTATCTAGAAGACTTCCTTCTAACCGAAGACAAACCCTTCATAAATCGGTATAAAGAATAAGAAACTCGTAGAATATTTGTCTAAATTAGAGCTGATATGGCAGTAAATTGTATACATTTGTAGTTGCAACGCACCCCATTTTTCTTCTCTGTATCATTCTACATCCAACATTTTTTCAATAAAGCTTGACAATGGAAAGCGGCGCACATCTCTATATAGGTAGTGAGAAACAATGAACTGACAGCAGTATATTTTATTTTTGCCACTGAGTAAAAACCGCGTTCGTCCTTCGCGTTCAAGTCCCCCACAATCTTCTTGGAGGCGCGCAGCTTTGGTCGAAATCGCACAATATGGATCCTGATGCTTTGTCAAAATTAGCTGCGATAATAATGAACGAGATCCCCGCGACTCGTTTCTAACTATTTTTCTTTTTTATTTTTTACTTCTCCTTCTACTGCTTCATCCCTTTATCGCGAAATTCCTTCTACTGAACAGGAAAAAGGCTTACACTTAGTATGATCTAGCTTTTTATTTTAACTAAAAAGTAAACAATAAATTAATCTTAATTTAATTCAACGTTTCACGTTTAGCCAGTAGAATACAAATATTTTCCAAAAACGTGTGAATAGAATAAAAAGGAAATTGGAATGAATGTAAGATGGCGGAGAGACACATGCAACCAGAATGTATCACTTCGTTATCCACGAAATATTAATCTCAACGTGTTTCCTTGTGAACGCATGTTATGGGGAAGGGCGCAACGACGTCGAAAGATTGTTCATTGTATACACGCTATAACGTAGCAATAACAGAGTTTCATTATATGTACGTACATAGACTGTTGTGGGAGATTGCAAAACCTGCCTAGATTAATGTTTTCTCATCCTCGACCTTTCTCTCTCTCTTTGGCTCCTTCCCCATTCCAAAACACACTCATCTCATCCCTCAGTCGCACATGATTTTTCTACCACCGCTTCTTTCAGCTTGTTCAAAAATAATGCAGATTATCATCAAATTTTCTCAATTTAAAAATATTTTTAAAATTTCATCTAAATATCCTATATTCACCCAAATAATAAAAATTAGGTATAAAATTTCACAATTCTATATTACTTATCTTTAAAGCAATAACCAATTTCAAAAATTGTACCAAATTAACAAAAGCGTTGAAAATGGATTACAAATGAGTCTATACTATATATACAAGAGAAAAGATTAATTTTTATCCAGAACAATGAGAACATCAAACATACGATAGAGAAAACAATGTCCAAACAATGAAATACACGAAATATTATCTTTCCTCTATTACAAGCAGAGTTTAGCGTTTCATACCCCTTCCGCGTTCTCCAACCCCATCCACAACCTCCATCAATCCCTCTTCCTCTCTCCCAAGTACGACCGCCAGAAGGTCGTTGATTAAAATAACCTCGTCACGGTTGCTTCTGAGTGCTCAGTAGAGAATTGCATCGGGATGCCAACGCAAGAAATGCAGTACTGAATGCTGCTTTGAATTTTAAAATATGAAAAATTTCTAATAAAATAACATGTGCATGTAAAGAAAACCACTATTAAAAACCGAAATTTAAAAAAATTATATATGAATATAATATAAGGGACAGGAGCTTGATTTATTTCGAAATATTAAAAAAATGAACTTTCCATTGGAATGTTCAGGAAATTTTCCATCGAGATCTTCCGATAGAATCTCACCGATCTTCCTGGAAAAATTTCAAGGAGATTTTAGGAAGGTATCGTGCTATGTGGAATAGTAAATCTTAATTTTGAATCATTTGAATATCCACAAATTAGAAGAAACCGGCATGGACTGCCTCATCCAATCTTGAGTGAAAAAAGAAAACACAAAGCCTTTTTTTTATAAACTCACTCCCTGTTGTATACACCATCGCCTACTACGTTCCTGGATTCCATTCATTTATTCAACTCACCCCGCGCACTTCTCCCATGTACCACCCATTTGTACTCAGACGGGCACAGAATCAAATATAATGCGAGCCCGGTCTCATTTTTATGAAATGCATAAATAAGCGAAGCCGGGACAATTGTTCGCCGGGCGGAAGGGAGAAGAAGCAGAAATGAAATATTCTTCGCGTCTTCTTTTCGTTTTTATCTTCTCTCTTCTATATATATATATATATACTACCAACTTTTTTCTCCCTTCTTTTTTTCTATAACGACGACAGCACCGAATTCGCGGAATAAGTCGCTGAGCCAGGAAAAACACGAGAGTTTTAAGCCCTTTCAAGACAAAAGATGATTATTTTGATGAGAAATGAGATTGTCTACTCTTCCGGAAATGCACAACTGAATCAGACAAACTTTTAGCCAGTTTATGTATGGGATTTGGAAAAGTTCACAATCGTCAAGAAAAATAAAATTGAGCAAAACACTGCTAGGTATATGTGAAAAATATTGCAAATCAATTGTAGGCAAATAGATTGCAAATGCAATGTGTCATTTTTAGAGGATTTTGTGATAAATATCTGTAAAAGGATTCAATAAGCAACAGATGCGCTTGAGAGTACTTAACCCACTTAAGATGAAGATATGCTTTTGATAAGATCGGTTTTATGATTAAATTGAAAATTTCATGATTAGATTGTCACTCTCAATGCCATATGGCGAAACTTCAAGAGGCTAACATTTGATATACAGCACAATATCCCAGTAATAAAAAATATCAACAAAAAATTGTTTATTATCGAACAAGGTTTAATATTTAACTTTAACATTAAAAAATATGTTCTGAATATCAGTAGAATCCTTTCATTTTGACAAAAATGTTCTTTTTCTCTTCCAATCAAATTAAGAGTTCTTTGTTATTTTTTTAAATAGATAGTTCTTAATGTTATATGAATGCTTTTAATAATTAGAATATTAATTTTTTTCGTTATAAACTAAAAGTAAATTTTTTTATAGTTACAATGTTTATTTGTTTGGTTGTATATAGATAAACAGAATAATAAGAAGTCAATTAGTCCTGAAGGATGAATGAACTGGAACAGAAAAGCGTGGGGTGGTTGGTGGAACGGAGATATGGTGGCAGGCTCAACGGATGAGGATAGTCGATGGGTAGACCATTGTTTAGGTTTAGCACAATCACAAATGCTGCTAGGTACAGCTACCCCGCTGGTGTACATATACATATAACATTGATTCGCCGCAAATAGGGGCTGGTTTCACTCAACTACTGGGCGCAGAGGAAGGAGACGCGAAGAGGCACGTACACCAGTTATTGTTTTCTCGACGGTATGATTGATTCAGAACAAGAGCGAATTTCTGCCATAAAAAACAATAATATCTCTTAATTACACTATATTCATTCAATCAACTCTGTCAATTTCACACAAAGAAATCATTATAATATGCCATGATGACAATTTTTTTTCTTTAAAATGCTTGCGGTTTCATTAAGAATTGTTACATCTTTTAAGTGACAAAAAAAATTCAATAACAATGGAGCATTGTTCTAATTATCATTTTAGCTCCTCTCTTCATCAAAAATTTTTAAATAATTGTGTAGGTAAATAATATAAAAATAATTATATAAATTCGTGCACGTATCGACATATAACAATAAGAATGAAGACGGCTTATAAATATTACAAATATCCGTAAAATTGTATATCATCTATTCTTTGAAATCAGAGTATTCCTTTGAAAAATCCCGACCATTGTCACGATGAGCTTACTTAGCTGACTTTTTTTCGTTTCGTCAAGTTCGATACATTTTTTCCTCCTCAGCCTTTCAATTTTAGCGTAATTATTCCTGTCATTCTGTCTCAGTTTCAAAAGAGCTTTGAAATATCAAAAATATATAAAATATTTATCTATGTGAATGTGTATTAAATAGGTGAAAATTCTCATTGAAAATATTTTAATATAATTAATTTTTATTTAATGTTATTGATTCAATAATTTACCAAATATTAAAAGAAGGAATAAAGAGATTCAATCAATAAATTTTTAGACGAAAAATTTGTAAACAAAAGTTTTTATTATTTCCCGCGTGAAAAATATTTTTTATTTTTAATCGTTGATCATATTACGTGATATTTTTAGTTAGGGGCAATGTTTAATTGAAGATAAATTTTTTTCTAAGAAACCGGACTACATAGTGAGAAAAAAATATAGAGAATGGGCGTGGCCGATGACAGATTAAACGAGTACAAACGCCACCCTCGTGAAGGTTACTGTCATGGGGTAGATATCCACAGAGGGGTAAATTAATAAGAGTCGCACCATGTCAATACCGGGCGGTTTAGGGCGGATACATTGTATCAAAAGAATGGCGTTTTTCATTAGATTTCCAACATCTAATGGACACTATAATAGATGATATTCAACCTCTCTAATTTATTTAAATAAAAACAATGCTTTAAAATAAGGTATATAATTCAAATAAATATTCAAAGTGTTTTAATTAAACGATAAGTGTATATTTACTAACTTATCAGTATTTAATTCATTACATGTAGAATACATATAACGGTTTTTTATAATTTACATAGATTCCGCGCGAATATCAGGAATAATAATAATAATAATAATAATAATAATAATAATGGCGACTGATCATGTAGGAATGTAATATACGATGACATACTTTGCTATATAATTTCAAAATATACATGTCAATGGCACATCACATATTTTTATTTATTTATTTATACATATATTCTACGCTAATAAATTAACTTTACTAACTCCATCCAACTTGACTTTTATCCTCGGATTTTGCATCGCCTGAATTTCTTCCAATGTCATACCCCTAGTTTCCGGTGTGATACAAAAAGTGAGGATCGATCCAACGACAGCAATAATCGCGAACAACCAAAATGTTGCATAAATCCCAATCGCATTATTCAGAATCTTAAAACCAGCCGACGTTGCAAAATTAAAAACAGATCCAATAACTAAAGCAGAAGCTACTGCAGCACCTTTAACATTTATCGAAAACAATTCTCCCAACAGAACGTATGGTATAATTCCAATACCTAATGCAAATGCCACTTGATACAAAATAAGGCCGAAAAGAGGTAACCAAGTAATGTGAGAAGCATATTCTTCGTTGTAAGTCTGCATAAAGAAAAAAAGTCCAACAGCGGTTAAAGACACTGCATCAACTATACCCGATGACAAAAGTAATTTTCGTCTGTCAATTCGATCGATCACAAAAATAGCCGCTAAACTGGCTAACAACTGAATACCAGTTACAATCATCACACCCACTCCAGCCTCAATTGACGAGCCACTGAGGCTGAGTATCTCTTGAGCATAATAGATAATTGCACCGTAACCAGTCAACAGTTGTGTAACTTTCAAACAAGTCAATATCATCAGACCCTTTCGATTATAACTTTTGACAAACAACTCACGAAAACCCGATCCATTATTCTTTTGATCTTCCACTATTGTCATTTTCATGTTTTTTATTTCCAAATGCAAACTTTCCGAGGACGAAAGACCCCGTAGAAACATTAAATATTTCACAGCTTTCTCATCATCACCCTTCATTAAATAATAATACGGCGTTTCGGGTAAAAGAAGAACAATAATTACAACAATGACGGTAAGGCCGATTGAGAACAAGTTTAAGATACTGTACGACAAGTAGGCGGCGATTGAGGATGAAATAAATATACCGACATACTTCCCTACCCGCATGATATTTATCAAAGTTCCTCTAATATGCTTTTCTGATATCTCCGCTAAGTAAATTACCAAAGAATTGAAAATACTGCCCTGACCGACACCACCAATAAATCTTGCTAGAAATAACCAAATATAATTCTCGGCCAAGACAATCATGAGCCAACCAATCAGGAGTAGAAGGGCAGAGATCAGCAGAGTATACTTGCGGCCTATTCGGTCGATTAGAAGGGGGTTGAACAAGCTGCCGAGAAAATCGCCGATGAGAAATAAAGATACGATCCAAGTACCTTGTTCGCCTGTTACAGGAAATGGTGATTCCTTGCTGGTTAGGTGGGGTATTGAAGGTGATGACCAAGCCTGGTATGATCCGCACGCTACCATCAAGTTGCAAGCTGCCGAATTCGGTATTACATTAAAACTCAATTTTATCTAACCAAGTTAAAATTTAAAAATTAAACAACTCAATTGCAATTATTAAGACTTAATTACACTGTGTTACAGGTAATGTCATTTATAATATTATAATATTATAATTCAAGTAAAAACATATTTTCGGTTTTATTAAAATAAGTTATTTTTTTAATTTTCCTTTTTTGTAACACAGTGTCATTATGTAAATATTGGTTTTTTTACTGCTTTATTATACATTTACATTCTTTTAATAATTCTTGATAATTAATCTTTAAAAAATTAGTATTCTATTTTGAATTGTTTTAATAACTCCGAATTAATAATAAATAGTAATTAATATTTTCCGGGGGAAATATATGTTACATGGAACTCACCACCAATACCAGCAAGGAACTGCACCATGTGACTTCCCTTATTTTGTGTCATTTTTATTTGTTTCTCGTGTCCAGACATTCTACTCGTAAAAATGAAAGTTTGTCACTTATTAGTTTTTTTTTAATCATCATAAAAACTTTTTTTCTTTATATCAAGACAATTAAGAGAATTCAAAATGAAAAGATGAGATTTTTCCTTTTTCTTATGTAAGCTTTGGTCATGAGCATGAAATGTCCATGACATTCCCCCACGCTTTATTTACTTTAGTCATGATCTGATTTCACAATGGGTTCATTTAATTTTTCACATATAATTACACACTAGAATGATTATTCTTTTTTAAAAAAAAGAGAAAAAATAATTACTAAAATGGTAAATTAACATTTATACACTGATTCATTTTCAGAATTCTATTCGAAAATATTTATCATGAGAAGGATATGTATATTCATTTGAAATTTGAATTTACTTCTAACAGTCTGGGAGATTAACCAGCAGTTTCCTACCTGTTAACAGCAAAGGATAATTTGCCAAAGCGAGATGGACATGTGTATATGAAAACTTTACTTGTGAGTGAAAATTGACGAAAGTTTCGTGGTTCAAAACCGTTATCTATACACAGCAGTCGACATTTTAGTTAATGACCGCCTGTAATACAAAAACCTCACCGCTTGAATAATGACATCTATCGTCCGGCATTTCAGTACGTGAAAATTAACTCTCAGGATAAATGAAAAATTCAGAAAAGTCATGCACTATCGACTGGTTATAACGATTGCCAAGTGCAGATCATATATGGAGAAAGAAAAATTTTTTAATTTCTAACCGACTATTTTCAAAGTTTTCAACTTTCGATTTAAAATAAATATTCAAGGTTTCTCCAAGAAACTGAATTTTAAATTTTCGATATTTTCGTGGTCAAATTTTGTAAAATTGCATTTAATTAAAACAAAAATATAATACAATATATGTATTGTAAATAATAACAAGAAAAAAGTTAAGTAAGAAACAACTCACCGATCGGTGAATCCCTCGTCGGAGCATATGGCTACGACTAAATTCTTGTGGGTCACACCTGAAGATTCCTTCTCCTTGATTGCACTTTTATACTCTCCTCATACAGACGAATCTGGATGAAATGCCTGTAAATTTAAGAAATTATATATATATATATATATATATTAATTTAAGAATTTTATAAATATTCTAATAAAAGACGAACTAGGATTAATGTTCTTAAAAAGAACCAAAGATTATATTCTTAAATTTAGAATATAATTTTTTTGGAATGATATATGATAGAGAAAAAATATTTGCGAAAAAGGTAAAGGGTATATTTTTTGTGCCAGGCCCAGAAACTAGTAGAAATGTTGGGTAATGGTCGGGCAGCATCAGACAGAGGCACATAGCTCCAGGCCATGTAATTCATTACTAAAGCAATCTCACCCTGACACCCCCTTGGACCCCCTCGGCAGCTTCCCTCCACCCCTGACCCATCAGCCTCCCGCGCCGCGTTATAATATAAAAACCCGAATAGAATAGCGCACTGACAACAAAACAAAATGAAACACAAAGCCCTGTTTTCATAATTAAAAAGATTGCGTATTCTTCGTCCTTCTTATTTTCCATCACGTCTCTTCCTTTACCGTCCCCTACATCTCACCCCCCCCCCCGTTATTTACCTAAGAAAAAAGCCACCTTATAGTTATTTATTTTTTATATATAATATATTTTTCTTTTTCTCAAAATTTTTCTCACTAATGAAAAATTTTAATCCATTTTTCTTGTTGATTGATATTTTTCACTATTTTAATTCATTTTTTCTATATCAACACCCAGTTTGGTTGAATTAAACAAATTTTTTCTTTTTTCCGCCTAATGTTTGATTAATTCATTAATTCATTTTAAAAATGTAAAGAAAAAATATAAAAATGTATTTTAATACCATATTATTAAATACTTTCATTATTCTAATAAATAAAGAAACAATTTATTCGGAACTTTCTAAAATCAAACGAATAAAATAAAAAACTAGACTGCCAATACAGATATATATCAACATGTTTGTGCGACAATCGAAAACGATCGGAAGACTTTTTTTTGCAGTGTTAGACATGATATTCTACATCGAATTTATTCGTGGTGGTTTAGCAAATTTTCGCGACAGTGGGGGTGTACACCCCCAATAACGAGTCTCCGCCTCCACGATGGAGGGCGCCAATCAACGTGCAACAACCCCTGCACCATTCTTGGATGCTGAGGGTCGTTCCTCGTTATTCCCGCAAATCTGGCTTCAGTTTCTCGCCATCTCGCGAGTAATTGCAAACGCTTTTGGAAAGAAAAAGGTGAAGGGATATTTTTTATTTCATAAAGTTTCAAAGGATTTCATATTGCACACTGAAGAAATCGTCAGCGCTTTTTTAAGAAAGACAATTTTTCATCCTGTGTCAACTTACAAAAGTGAAGAAAGTTTCAGAAAATAATGTCTGGACCATATCTTTCACCTCTTGGACCACAAGCTGATCTTCTAACGGAATATATGTTCGGTCGACGTCGTCAGGTCAGTGTAGGTTTCAACTTTTTAATTAGTTTCATCTCTTTCTATTGTCCAAGAATTAAATGTTCATTGAACAAATAAAGTTACATCAAAAGTTGCCGGTGACTTTTCATTTCAAAAATGTTTTAGATTCTTAAATAAAATCAGTGAAACATTGATGAAGATAATGGTACTTTGAAGATCATACTCAGAATCAAACTGATGATTATATCATTGAAACATATATCAACATTCAAATGAGAAAATATTTAGATTTAGAATACTGATTGTATTTTTATGAAGAAAAACAAATAAATCCTCATTCTTTCAAAATTAACTAATATGGCAATACTTAAATAAACAATGACAATTTCTGCAGTTAAGACTAGAAATTTATATTTAGAAATTCAGGCAGAAAATATTGATAACTTAAACCCCTAATGTTCATGATTTTTTATAGTAAAAGATTTAAATAATTTACTTCTTAACTATAAGTTGACATAAATTAATTATAATTATTAATTAAATAATTAATATTTTATTTTTGAACAAATTTTGTTTGCAATAAAATTTTAGTTGTCTGCCCCATAGTTATTTTTCTATTTCAATAAAACAATTTGTTTCGTCCATATAAAATTCTACTGCTTTTTTAAGAAAAAAGAACAAATATTCTACTGTTAAAAATAAATAAATTAGTCTGATATTATAAATGAGATATATTTAAAAATAAAGATGCAATAAAAATTATTTCGTTCCTATAATAATAGATTTTGATACAAAAAAAAATTATTTGAATATTAGTACTTATATTATAATTAATTACAAAGATATAATACAGAAAAAAATGCCTTAAAAACTTGTGTAATCGTTTAAAATTTTTTAAAAATATAATTATTATTTACTCAAACTTACAATATCTTATAAGTTTTCGAATGTTAAAAAAAATGTTTAAATTGTTTATTTATTACGAATCTAATCACATGCGTTAAAGAAGTTTGCTGTGGCAGCAAACTTTGAGTGGGGTTAAAATTATAGATTTTTTTTGTTTTTTTAAACGTCCCATCTAGCTTTTTAGCAGCTCTAGCAAACATTTTAGTTTTATTCTTTCCCGTGGAAATTTATCAAGTGTTAAAAACTATTAAAATAATAAATTATCAAGCTGTAATATTTTATTACATTAGACTACATAAAGTTTTCAACTATAGAAAATTTAATCGAAACAATTTGATATATCACTGATACAGAGGCGTAATCGAACAACCTTTACACCACAACAACTACAAGAATTGGAGTCACTTTTTCAAAAAACTCACTATCCGGATGTATTTCTACGAGAGGAAGTTGCGCTTCGAATCTCTCTTTCGGAAGCTCGAGTGCAGGTAATTTTATCATTATTTTTTTTCTCAACAAAAAAATGAATTGAGAGATAAAAATGTTTTTTGGTTCAGGTTTGGTTTCAGAACAGAAGAGCAAAATGGAGGAAACAAGCACGTTTACAATTACTGCAGGACGCATGGAGAATGCGATGTTTGGGTTTGGGGAGTGCTGCGCCACTTCTTCTGAGACCTCCGCCTCCGGGGGTGGATCGTCCTGACGTGTCCCCACCACCCTCGTTGGCACCAACGACTCCACAAATTTCGCCGCCTTCGGCACCTGATGGTAGACTGACCGAAAATGGACCTATCACTGTACCAGCGTGTCGAGACTATCGAATTCTACCTCCACCACACAGGTATTAAAAAATATATTTTCCACAAAATTAAACAAATTATTCGATTTCGAGTAAGGATCCAAATAATAAGATAAATTCATGATAATAAGTATAATCGAAAAGTGTCTTTCTAACGAATGTTTACAGTTTTTCGATTAACTGTGACAAATCACCAGAAAGAGTTAAATGTGGATGTGGCTCGCCACAAAGATCATCCAGCAGCCCTTCTGAAAGTGAAACACCCACCGGAGTAATGATAAGAGAAAGACCGCAGGAGTCTGAGATGGACCTAACGATTAAAGGACCTCATCCTCCACGACACCCACCAATAGCATCTCTCTTTCATCATCTATCCACGACTACTCAAGCGGATCTTAGTCCGCCGTCTCAATCTGTTGACGAACCACTTGACGTCACTCTTGCTAGCAACAAGAACAATTAAACTTTTGATGTGAGCAAAAATTATTATTTATAAATATAATATAAAAGTGGGAGAGTTGCGCCGCCTCATTGTTGAAATCAACAAAATAAATTATATACTTCATAATAAATATAAAGACTCGGCTAAAAAAAATTGATGGTCAAGAAATGTCAATGCTACTAAGAAACATTCAAATAATGTTCAAAATTCTTAAAAATCATTTTTTTATACATGCACCGAAAAAAAAAAGTTCTCAAATTTAGAGGATTCCTCTTCTTTTGCAGCAACTTTTCCTTTTATATATGGGCACTAAAGTTTTCATATCTAATTGAGAGGATTTTCCTCTTTTATATTTTGAGAGGAATAATTTCAAATAAAGATTTATTCATCTTGTTTCAAACTTACGTCAAATTCAGAAATGTCAACCTTCTTTACAGGGTTAAAAGAAATTTATGATTTAATTTACTCGTTATTACTCGGATTAAGTAATTTATAATGAAAGGAACCATTTTTGGAGAAAAAATATAGACGGCGAAAACACGAGCTGAGTTTTTATACAATAAAGTACCAAAGATTTTCAGGTTGTTAAAAATGTTTTTAGTTTTTGTTCATTTTAAAATAAAGTGCTCAGTATTCAAGTGAAAAAAAGTTAATGGATTATTTAAATCAAAGTAAATATATTTTTAAAATAGTGTAGAGGTCAAATTGATGAAATAATCAATTCTGATTTGAATATTATTAAATTCTAACCCTAGAAAAAATAGGGGTTAAACAGATCGCATTGTTGATAAATTATAATAAATTTATCACAGTTTTTAATATGAATAGAAATAATTTTTTAAACATTAAAACCTTAATTTTCAGTGAAAAATTTGTTAATTAAATAATTAATGTAGAAATTCCAATTTCAGATAACAGATTTTTCAGCTCGTTGTCCATTTTATTTTGAACTGTCACTTTTCAAACAGTTTGAAGATGCGCGCAACAAAACAAAATGAAACTATAAAAATCTTTTTTACAGCATAAATTTGTTTCATTTTGAGAGGAATAATTTCAATTATAGAAAAGAATCTTAAATGCAAATGAATAAATTCAATCAAAGAGAAAATATTAAAAGTTATCATTTAATAAAAATATTCTCAAATAAAGAAGAAAAATCCTCCTTTTTGTAGATGAATATTCGTATATTGAAAATAAAATGTAAAAGTAATTTATGAGCGGAATTTTCTTCTCATTTGGAGATTTTATTTTTTTCGGTGTGTTAAATATGTAAATAATTGGTGATGCAGGTCTGTTTTATTAATTTTATCTTTTCCGTTTTGTAAAATTAATTTTTCATTTTAAAGAATAAAATACTCCTTCTTCTTGTGTAAACTACTTAATTTCAACTGCATTTTTATTAATATTTTATCAAAGAATTTAAATTTTCGAAGAAATACTCGAAAAATAAAAGAAAATTATATTTATTGCTCATAAACTAAAATGAATTTTAAGTTTTTCATTGGAAAAATTCGCAATTACATAAAAATTACGCAGTGGAATAAAATAAAAAAATTATTAATCGTTTATTTATCTTGATCTTCTGGAACCAATTAGTTTATAGAAGCCAATTTTGTAAATAACTATTGTGCAGTACATATTTAATGTAATATGTATTATTTAGAATTAGTCAAGTTCGGATAAAAATAAAAGAAAATGAAAATTCGGACTGTAATTACGTACATACAATTAAATACATAATGTGTGAAAAAGTACTTATAATGCTAATAAATTTCTTGAATTAAAAAAAGTGTACATTTTTTTTCTATTACATTACTGATTATTTATACATATACCGTCAACTATATTTTTCGTTTACGCAATGAAAATTTCACGTTCTCGTATATAGGACAAATGAAAAAATTGCTGTCTGTTGTAAAAAGTTATATCAAATACATATCTTCGTAGGTCTGTATTTTTTAATAAATATTCGTAAGTACATAATTTATAATAAAAATTAAAAAAATTGAAAATCTTACAGTGTTGATTAAAGATAAACTATTGTTATTTTCGCGTACAAGAAAAAGATTTATATTTCTTTTCAAATAGCAATCACTTAAACTTTATCTAAAACAATAGAATAAAAATTCTATTCATTTATCAATTATCATCCGGAAATAGTACGTCAAGCCTTTAAAATTTCATGACTTTGCATTCAAAATACACATTGCACATTTTATGTGCAAATTTATTTAATAAAACTCGTTTGCCATTATAAATCCCTCATTTAAAATGTTTTAAATTCGACTTCAGATTCCTATTCAATAATCTTAAAAGAGAAAAAAAGAACCGTTCCAATGTCAACTGAATTAAAATTATAAGAAAATTACTTTAAAGATTAAAATTAACTTGAGACTATTTTAAAGCCAAAAACTGGTTTACTTTTTAGATCAAATGTTACTTTCTGTTTCCACCAGTAAACAATTTAAGAATGTAGCTATGATTTTAATACATATCGGAAAGATTTTGTTATTTCATAAAGTTTTATAACTTTCTAACTTTAGTATAAGTAGAAAATGAAGAAATGGATATATTTTTGTATAAATATCACAACAACTGACATTATACTGTATTGAATAAATGTATTAGTTAAACGGTTTCGTAGAGTGCAGACATAGAGGTCGCGTTTAGCACTTACTTAAGATGAAACTGCAGTTGTCGTGAGACCGGTCACCTTGCTGGTCTGGTTGTACCGAGTTTCGTGAGAGAAAAGCACTGTACGCGAAATAAGTTTAAAAACAATTTCTATACATACACATTTATTATTTAGCATAATTGCGAAATTCATGACACAAAAACGATTTAGAATAATGTAAAAGACATAAGTAAATTGTTTTCTACTTATTTGAATTCATATTCTTAAAAGAAAAACTTGAAGCCGGGAATCAAATACATGTAATTGCATGTATTACTTAATCTAACACTTTCATTAAAATATTAATTATGTACAGATTTTAAGTGACATCATAACTAATTAAATATAGGTATGTAAAATCAGTTATTTTCATTAAATTCTCTAAATTATCGTAAATTATTAATTTTTAATTAAAATTAATTAAATAAGAATTATTTTATTTAATATGATTTTAATATTTTTTTAATTACGTGTTAAATTTCTAGTTATTTTATCAAAATTCTTTATTCAGTCAGTCAATATTAATATTAAATGACAATCATAAGCTTATCATATTTGTTTTGTTTTTTTTTGACCTAAATTTAAAATATAAAAAAAATGATCAGATATAAGAAACAAACATTGTATTTTTTAAAATTACGTTTCACTTAACTTTATACGTTATGATAAAGGTGTTGAATTTTGTATAGTATAATACATTCTTACATGCAATCTGGTGTATATAGTTAATCAATATTGTATGTTTTTATTTTTTGCTGCGGACTTAAATGCATATCAATGTATACTTATTTAATGACATATTAAGATATGTCATTAATGCATAATACGTAAAAAATTTTGTTTTTGCCACGTAAATTAAAAAAACATTAGTAAATATCGTTAATTTAACTATATCTAATTATTACAATCAATTTTAAAATTTAGAAAATGTAAAAACATTAAAAAAATATTTCTTCATAGGAAAAATGAAATCAGTGAAGTCAATTTTTATCGTAACAGTCTTATTTATCGTGACATGCGAATCACGACAACCAGTGTAAGTAGTTTATTGTTTTTAAAGGCATTAAAGGCAAGTAAAGTTGTTAAATTTACAAGATATAAACTATTTTTAGAAACAATAAATTTGTAAACTTTAACAAAATTGTATTTTCCAATTTAATAGTCTGTTGTCTTTGATTCTATTATTAACTCATTATCCAATATTAATTTCACAAAATTAATTATAATTTTATTTAATTTGATAATTTTCTATTCACGTTTGTATTGTGTAAATAATATATTTTTTCAAGTACCAACATTTTCCTCTCGCGATATTAAAATTTTTTTTCTAATTATATTAGATTTTTTCGAACATACAAATGCGTGAATAATGTATGCCAAAGAACAAAGCATCCTACAACAACATTCGATGAAAATAGTACAAATTCAATTAAACAACATAGCACATTAGCGTCATGTCGATTGGTGTGTGAAAAAAATGGAAATCTCTGGCCACTGCCTACTGGAATTTCCGAAATTGGAAGAAATGTAAATGCAAACCAAAATTAGCATATAGATATTATTTTTTCAACTGTAAAGATTTTTAACAGATTTCTATATTTTTTCTAGTATTTATACGTCAATCCTAATAATATTTCCTTTAACATGTTGGAAGTGCCATTTGAAGTAACGACATTTTTAAAAGAAATGTGTAACATTTTTCTACAAAATATGAGATCCTTATGTAGCAATGAATGTAAGGCTATTGATGATTTAAATATCACTATTTACTTCAGAATTGAGTCGAAAAACCTCGACTTAAATTGGGAGACTAATGAGAAATATAGTCTTAATGTACCTAAAGGAGGTATTACTATATTTTCTATAATTTATCTTTTTCTTTATTCACGCTATAAAATCTGTTTTTATTAACGAAAATTGAATCAATTCTTTATGAGAAAAATAAATACTTCACTTTGTACAGGAAAAAATAATAAGAAAGTATCAATAAATGCATCTACTGTTTATGGAGCTCGTCATGGATTGGAAACTCTTTTACAACTAATTGCACCTAGCTTAACAAATGCTGGAGATTCAACACTAGTTATCGTAGATAATGCAATAATCAAGGATAAACCAGCGTATCCTCATCGAGGATTATTAATCGATACTGCCAGAAATTTTCTCCCAGTGAAAGATATATTAAGGACAATCGATGGACTTGCTGCTTCAAAATTAAACATTTTACATTGGCATGCCACTGACAGTCAAAGCTTCCCCCTTGAGATAAAAAATCTTCCATTAATGACTTTGTAAGAAATTTAAGTTAATTTTAACATTCAAGAATACAAGTTACGAATAACATTTAAAAATTAATTAATTAATATTAAAAATAACCTTATAAAAAAATTAATTTTTTGAATTGTTCAAATTAATCGATAAACAACAAAATTTTTAAAATTACTTTTATTGGAGAAAATATAAAAATAAAGTTCAAGAAAAGCTAAATTTAATATTATAAAAATAGATATAACAATTCTAATAGCAGCACTATACTTGAGCCTTTAACCCTTCTTTACCTAAAAATAGTCGTTAATTTTTAAATTCAAAAAGAGTTTTAGGAGTTAATATCAAAATTTTAAAAATTCTTTTTTAGAGTTGCAATATAAAAATACGCTTTTTTTTAAAAAATGCCAAGCCCTTGTCAAAATAGAAATCGATGATTCATAAAATTTATGTGGATTGATAATAATTTTTTCAGATACGGAGCTTATAGTTCTGAAAAAGTGTATAGCGAGTCTGACATGAAAATGGTGATAAAATACGCTAAAGCTCGGGGAGTCAGAGTTATTTTGGAAATAGATTCACCATCACACGCAGGAGCTGGATGGGAATGGGGTCCTGATGCTGGTCTTGGAAATCTCGCAGTTTGTATAAACCAACAACCTTGGAGGGACTATTGTATTCAACCACCCTGCGGTCAACTTAATCCTGTCAATCCTTATACTTTAAGTACATTGAGAAATTTATATAGTGATATTCTAGACATTTGGGATAAAGATACAATATTACATCTTGGTGGTGACGAGGTAAGTATTTATTTTGCAAACTTTTCGAACTGATTCTTCCATAATTATAAATTGATAATAATAATAACTTGATTTTAGCTTTTTATAAACTGTTGGAATAGTACTTCAGAAATAACTGACGAAATGAAAGCAAAAGGAATGGGACTCCGTGATATAGATTTCTTTAAACTTTGGAGTGATTTTCACAAATCGCAAGTGAATATTTTAAAAAATATAACAGGGAATGAGAACACAAAAGCAATAGTTTGGAGTTCTCATTTAACGTCTGCAAATTTAATAGAAAATTATCTCGATAAAAGTCAATTTATTATCCAAACCTGGGTAGAAGCCGAACTAGATCTTAACGAAGAATTATTAAATCTTGGATATAATTTAATAATTTCTACAAAAAATGCATGGTACCTGGATCATGGATTTTGGGGAACTACAAATTATCATACCTGGAGAGATGTTTACAACAATCGGATTCCAAATTCGGTAATTATAATTTCACATAAAAAGCAATATAAATACATATATATTCTCAGAAGTTACTGGATTTTAATAATAAAACTTGAAAATAATACAATAATTAATAGAGAGGAGTTCTTGGAGGTGAAGCCTGCATGTGGGGTGAATATGTAGTAAGTGGTTCTTTGGATTCGCGAGTTTGGCCAAGAACAGCTGCTATTGCTGAAAGATTATGGACCAATTCTCCAAATTTAACAACGGCGGACGTGGAACCAAGATTAATGGCACAGCGAGAAAGGCTAGAGAGCAGAAATATTTTCCCCGAGGCAATTGCACCTGAATGGTGCAACCAACATGAGACTCAATGTTACTAAACTAGAATTTTATTTCGATATTATCATATTTTTGTATAAATAAAAAAATAATACAAATCATCTACATGTGATAAAAGACACACAACAAATACTCTGTGATTTTTAAAATAAATTTATATAAATTTATTAAAAATTACCAAAGAAATTATCATTCTCGTATAATTATTGCAATACCTGAACTCAATTAACCCTCTCCCTGTCCTGGGTTATCCCCACTCTAACGCTATAGAATGTATTTCCCATAGTCCCCACCAGGCGACCGAAGGGTTAAAATCAATTTTTCACTGTGTAATTTTTCAAAATTACTACCCAAATTAATTATAAAAAAAGGGCACTTACCTATGAAGATTTCCAGGTTGGAATGATACGGAAAACACTTTATTTCATCCTGCTTGCTGCCATTTTTGTCCTTTAGTCCTGTTAATGAAGATTTGTCCTAAAAAATAAAACAAAAGTATTAAAATTGATGAGGATAGGAAAACTAATTATTAAACAAAATTATATTACAATTATATTTTAGAAGAACCAGATTAAAATTTTAATAAATTCAAATAAAAAGAAGAATAATTTTATTTTATATATCAATAAATATGTATAATTCTATAATTAATGTAAGTTTTATTATTATAAAAGACAAAACAATAACTTAAAATTTTTTTTTTAAATTAAATCATAATAATAAAATTGGTATTTAAAAAAACTTGTAATAAATAAAATATATTACATTAATATTAAAAATAATAATAATATACCTATTGAAATAATGTTCATTAGTTGATTTTATTCATTAATATTTATCAAATAGTTTAACTGTAAATATAATGTGCATAACCTAAATTAAGGTATTTTATTTTTTAAGAAAACTTTATTGTCAGGAATTTATTTCAATAGAAATATTTTTTTTAACAATGAGTTAATTATTTACTTCCGATATTCTTTCTCTGGGTTATTATCAAAATAATTTAAATAATAGAACATGGAAAAAATTGGATTCTAAATTTCCATATGAAGGTCTCCAATTAACTTATTATTTTGAAGAAAAATTCATTGTATTTTATAATACGAAAAAAAAGCTCAATAATAATGTTCACTCACCACAATTGCTTGTTCCTTCCGACAAGAATATCCTTTTAAGCCAAAAAGTCCTCGGAGATCCCTCCTCATGATTAGAATACGAATTTACAATTGAAAATTCGGAAAATAACCAAACGAGGAGACCGGGTTCTTAGTGGCTTTTTATTCAAGGAGTTTTTCAGTGTTACTCAAGATGAGAAATCTACAAAACAAATAAAAAATTTATCCCCATTTTTCATGAAAATAACAATCTTGACGTTGTTAAATATAACATGCAGGGCAATAACAATAATAATTGCTTTATAAAAGAAAACATGATTACAGCTGAGATTCAACAGACGCCATTTTGAAAAAATTGTAAATAAATACCCAACAATTGTACAGATTCGTTTTTCAAATTGATTTTAGAGATTCATACAAAATGTTACAAACCAATTCTAGACTAATTAAAATTCGAAACAAATTTGAGATACTTATTTCTTCATATTTATATAAATATTACGAGGTGATTTTTTAACGGTCAAAAGAGGGTAAAAATTTTTTATCTGAATTTTCGTCCACTTTTAATTATTATTGTACAATGCTTTCATAGCATAAGGAACCCCTTGATGTGATCAAAAACCCAGGCCAAAAAGTTTTACACAAAATAAGAAATACTTATCAATTTCAAGATCGAAATTACAGAAAAAGCGAAGGGACTCACTTGTTCAAGACAAACTTATCAACAGGAATGAACAGGTAAGGGAAGCCATTGTTCCATTGGCTTAATTTTTCCATCATGGCGGACTATTCCACGATTCTGATTGGTCTTGTACACAATTTCGATTGGTGGATAAATTCCATATTCCTTGTTTAGTTTTAAAATTGTTATCTTTATTTACGTGTTTGAGATATTATTAAAATTTATCTTTCGTAAATAATAACAAAAATTAGGGAATTAGTGATTCTAAATTATAAAATATTTATTTTTTAATAACTTTGTTGTTGTATGAAATTTTGAAATATTTCCATTCTTTCCAATGTTTCACTGCGCTGAAATGACAAATGGCGCCTGCGTATTAAACGTTTCTATCTTTAGCTATTGAAATGTCAAGTTTAATATATAGGATATATAGTTTTATAGCCTGCCTTTGTAAATAAACTATCGCGTGCCGCTAAATATTATATAAAAATATTTTTCTCTTTACATCAAACACGAACTTTACTTTACATCCATTTAACAATGAGAATTTCATAATGATTTCAACGTATATATATGTATATCGTTTGACATATATCTAAATTGCCACTGTAAGTACAACGATTTCTGTAGTAAATTATATTTTCTGATAAACGTCATGAGGAATCTTTTTTAAATTTGTTACATTTATAAATGTGTCAGCATAGAAAACGCGATGACACGCTCAAAATCATATGAAAATTGTAGAAATATTTGGAATTGTATAGGTTATGTATGCTTTTTACATAAAAGCATTTCTTTTTCATAAATAAATGAGAATGAGGATGCTAATCATTACTAACGACAAATGTCGTAAATAACTTTGCAAGAACATTTTGCATTCTAGTGCAAGGGGTAATTATTACTATTTATATTAATTTTAAATTTTATAGAGATAAGAGAGTTCCTTCCTTTGATAATAAGTCCATTCAACTTTGTTCTTATCGCAACCTTGTCCTTTTTTTTATCTACCTATTTCTCTTAATAAAAATATTAATTACGATTACGTTTAAAAAGAAGATAGCCATATTGTTGCTTTGTGGCTTAATTCTAACATGTTTTTAATATATCAGAATGTCCAGCGTTCTTGTAATTCAGTTGCCATTCGATATTTATAAACGAAAGACGTATTATCTACTGTAATTATTTAACTGGAAAAAACGTCAGTAATTGCGTTTAAAATAATTGAAATTTATTTGGAAATATTTTAATTGCGCTGAACACTCTGAATGAGAAAATTAAATGAAATTTAGGGAAAACTAATTAAAATAGTAATGCAAATGACTAATAGTGTTTTAAAATTTTTTAATCAGTCCATATTTGCTACAGGATATAAATCTCCATCGCAATTATGGATATTATAAGTCTTGAAAGCGTAGAGACTGGAATTCGTTCTTCCAAAAAAGGCTCACTTACACGTTGCAATTGGATAAGTTCGAATTCAATATGTTACGTGACAATAACAATTGCAACTTTAGCGTTTTTAGGTGCAATTGTTTTTATTTGTCGAGACTACATTAAACTTCTCTTATATTGGATTGAACATCAAAGTGGATGGGTTATCACAATCATTTTTGTTGCCTTATTTACTGTGGTGTCCTTCCCGATAGTCATTGGCTATTTATTCCTCATCATTGCCAGTGGATATCTTTTTGGTTTCTTTCAAGGAATTATGATGGTTGTGCTCTCGGCAAATTTAGGAATTGCAATTGCACACGCAACACTTAGTGCTCTCTCGTCAAAATTGCCAATTGGAGCACTTTTACAAAGTGACACAGCACGAGCAATTTTAAGGGTAATTTCTGGACCTCAAGCTTTTAAAGTTGTACTTTTTGCGAGACTCACGCCTATTCCTTTTGGATTGCAAAACACTATTTTTGCTGTAAGTGTCTTAACTTTAAATAAAAATTTAGAAAATACATTTATTTCAATGAATTATTTAAATATAGATAACATTGAACATAAAATTTATTCTCAATGTCATTTAAATTATAGATAAGCAACATAGGCGGAATTCGATATCATATAGCCAGCGCACTGGGATTGCTTCCTGCTCAATTAATTAATGTTTACTTGGGAAGCAGTTTGCGATCTATGCAAGATGTACTTGAAGATCGATCGACAGCAGCGACTGGTTATATTGTATTTTGCTTTCAGGTAAACTTTTTTCGACATAAATTATTAAATTTAAATAAATATTAGTCAACAAAATTAATTCTAATTAAAATCTTTATGAAACTCCTAATTTTAGATTATGATAGGAGTCTCGTTAATGGTATATGTGGTACAGAAAGCTCGAAAAGAATTACAACTAGCTTTAATGGAAGCAGATTTGGAAGTTATGAGCGAGAGTTCTCATTATCTTCTCGATACCCTGCCTGATTCAAAAATTGTTTTAACAAATCTCATTGCTTAATTATACAACAAAAAAAACAACTGAATTTTTGCAATCAAAATTGTACAAATTTTAAAACGTTTTTTTTTTTGCTTTCTCATATAGAGAAAGTATTTTGCAATTAAGTAACTTTCTATCACTTTTTTTTAGAAAGCGAGATAATCCAAATTGATAAAAAAAAATCAATCATAAACAAAAAGTCTGGATTAGGAAATGAAAAAATTTTTTCTAGAAACTTATGTAAATCTGAGTTATGTCTTCTTTTCAATTTGAAAGTATTTTTATTTTCTTAAGTTTAAGATACCAGACTGGTTAAAAAAAATGTGCCAACTTTTTGTGGCCAAATTATGTTTTATTTGCTTTTATTACATTTGCATTTAAAACTTGTTAACTTGTTTAGTAAGTGAATAATGAGAAAGATTTTTGTAATTTATATATAACTTTATTGATTTCTTATATAAAGGAAGCTTTGTATTTATTTATTTTTAAATATTAGTACTTCCTTTACTTTTCCATTTATAAGTTTTGTTACGTTTTGTTCTAGATAATTAATGCATTTAAAAATATCAATTTATAAAAATTATTTGTTCTTTAAGGACAAAAAATAATTGTTAAATAATTCTATCAATTTAGAATATTTAGATAGAATATGAAACATTGTCCAAAGTATAGGTTTTGATTTTAGTTTAAAAAAAGAAACAGTGAATGTGATTTACGAGAACTGATACTTTATTTATTTGTAAACTATTAAGGGTATTTTTTTAGTAATATCTTATAACCATGTGATTAATTGTAAACGTCTTTATAATACAAAATAATTATGGCAGATTTATTTTTTGTCTTGAAATTTATAGACTTTAATACTGAATCTCGACATCTCTGATTATTTGAGAGTCATATGTCTATGCTATAATCTAAATAATTTAATATTTCATGTTATTTTCTAGTTAAAAAATATATAGTCTTCCATCATTACGTTTGATCTGTCGATAATCACACTGAATGAAAATAATTATAGCATTTTATAAAAGTATTTTACGATTCAGTGAAATGCAGCTAAAAAGAAAAGTTTTCATTAAAGAAATTTTAAATTTTAAAAACTTGTAAAAAAGTAAAATTTGTAAAAAGTTTATTATAGCTTGTAATAAGTTATAAAAGTTTTTATAAAATTTATAATTTTTTAATATGAAAATTTCACTTCTTTAAATTATTAAATACTTTTAGAAAAATTGTAAAAGTATTTCCTTTCAGTGCACGTAATTTATCACTCTAAATTTTAAGAATCTTTCAAAAGGGTGCATTAATATTAACTATAATAGTTTTTACATGTTTTAAAAAAATTAGTTTTATTATTTATTTCTTTTCTCAGGATTCAAATTCTTATCTTTACTTTTAGTTGAAAAACAGGTTCCTAAACGTAACACTTAATCACTTTATTATAAATATAACATTGTACAAATGTATCATACAAAAAATGTAAAAATAAATGAAAAATGGAAAAATAATTATTTTTCTCTTTTCATTGTCTTTTAAGATTCTCATAATGTATACATGTTGATTATATAATATCACCTCGTAGCATTGAATAAATTTTTCTAAAAATAGCCATTCAATTAGAATTCATAAATACAGATTCCTTGTCAATCAAGATTTTATCTTGATGTCTTTGTATGGCGTTTTTCAATACTTCTAAAGTAAAATCTGCATCCTGCTTTGTTACGCACATTGGCGGTTTTAGCCTTAATACCTAAAAATTGAGAAAAGAATTGATAATATTTTTAATCTTTAGGAAACTTACGTAATACAAAATTTATTACATTTCCGTTTACACCTCCTTTGCCGACTAAAACTCCCATGTCTTTCATATCTTCAAAAATGCCTGACACAGACTGAGTGTCAAGAGATTCTTTAGTTAAAGGGTCATTAATAAGTTCCACACCAATCATTAGTCCTTTCCCTCGAACATCTCCAATTATATTTGGATATTCTAACATCAGTGTGCTCAGTCTATGAAGCAAATGTGTTCCCACTTCCAAACAATTTTTTTGTAACTCCTCTTCTTCTATAACCTTAAGAAATAAAAATACAAATTTTAATCTCATATAAATATTAAAAATTTGCCTTTACTTTAAATAATTAACAATTTTTAAAATATGAGCTAAAACTAATGAATATTTTAATAATAAAGCTAATTAAAATATTTAATTATTTATATCATTAAAAAAGACATATACATTTAATAAAAATAAATTTTGAGGTAAAAATTGATTAGTTGCAATGAATTATGAATTCGAATTTTCTGGGTGAATGACCACAAGTATGTAAATAATTTTTAGGAATTGATAATGTGGCTGTTAATAATTGTAAATATATTCACTGAAGATAGGAATTCTTTTTTCAAAGACTTACGTCAAGAACTGCAGACCCTACTGCACAAGATAGTGGATTCCCGCCAAATGTGTTAAAATGAGAAGCTTTATTTAACGCATTCGCAATTTCTGGCGTGGTAACAACAGCTCCCAAAGGAAATCCATTTCCAATTCCTTTTGCCATTGTGACAATATCCGGTTGTACACCCTGAGATTCAAATCCCCAAAAATGTTCTCCAGTTCTTCCAAAACCAGTTTGCACTTCATCAGCAATATAAAGACCTCCAGTTTTATGAACTTGATTCACAACTTTATTTAAATAATTTTTCGGAAATTGCACTACTCCTCCAATTCCCTAAAAGTGATAATTTTTATTTAAATTTGCACATATTTAGAGCAGGGAAAAAAAATTTCAATAAAAATCTGCGAAGCTTTTAAAAATTTATAAACTAAACACAAATGAGGGTTCAATGATCGCAGACAAGGTCGAGTTTTCATTTCGATTGCAGTGTACAACACTGAAAGCAAACAAGTTAATAATTAGTTAAGTATATAACGCGCAGCTGTGATTTATTTCTCGCGTTATATCGCGATACTTGATTTAAAATGTCAAATATTTTAGAAATATTAAAGAAAAAAATTTTCATCTTATGCCAATCATTTATATATCTTATCAATATCGATTTTATTCAAAACAACTGTTATCGCATCGCTTACGAAAAATTATTTTTTAAAAATTTTTTATAAAGACAATTTTTTCAATAAGATAGATTGGAAATAAAAGATTAAAAGAAAGGTTAAAGATTGAAAGATTAGAATAAAAGTATATGACTGAAATTAATTCAGATATATACCTGAATGCTTTCAGCAATAAAAGCTGCAAGATTTCCATCTTTTGGTAAAGAAAATTTGAAAGTATTGAGAAATTCGGAAAAATACTTTTCAGATGCTTTGCATTCGTTTTTGACACAATGACATTTTCTTGTTCTTAATAAAATTGGAGTGTCTCGACACCTAGAGCCACCCCACGGTCCTAAATATACATCGGGATTCATTACCTGTATAATAAAAAAATTAAATTAATCTTCTTTTTATTTAAATTAAGATATAATTTTTTTTTATATACATAACCAGGCGATTAAATTCCTATACTAACAAAATCTTCTTTTTATTGTTTCAGAAACATAATTATTTTCGGTGCATTAAAAAAACAAGTTGAGGGATTAATTAATCCTTCATTTTGGAAGAAAAATCATATACTCAACGTGGATGTGTCCTGGAGGTCGAGAAATTGAATGCCTAAAGTTAGACATTGCTGTTGCAGTTGAGGCAGCATAAGTTCCTCCGTGATAAGCATTTTTTAGAGAAATTATGTCATGATTTCCGGTATACACTCTTGACATCAAAAAAGCCAGTTCCGTTGCTTCTGATCCCGAGTTCACTAGATAAACCACCTTCAAATCTCCAGGTAATTTGTTTGTTAATTTCTCAACGTACTCGAGTACACGTGGTTGCATGTAAATTGTCGGCGTGTATCCAAGTTTGGACATTTGTTCCGTTGCTGCTGCCACAATTTTTCTAATAATATTTAATATTATTAATATTTATTTCATTATTTTATTTTATATTAATAACCTTTTAATCATTTTCCCTGCAACAATTTTTTTATAACAAAGTTACAGTTTTTTTTAATTATTTTTTTTCTTAATGGAAGTGACTTAAAATATGTTTGTAATCTTATAAATAACGATGGCTATGATAAGAATTTATTTAAAATTCATTATAATGCAAATAGCTTATAAATATACTTACGGATGTGAGTGTCCGACTGAAACGGTAGCGATTCCAGCAAACATATCAAGAAATCGTTTTCCTTCATGATTCCAAAGCCATTGAGATCTTCCTTCATGAAGTAGTAGTGGTTTTTTGTAAAAGGGTTTCAAACTTGGAGACACGTTTTCAAATTGTGCCTTTAATATCGAATTATAATCGGGACCCTGAAAAACAATTCATTATTTAAAATATTTAACATATTTTAATATATTTAATAATATTCATATAGAAGCATTTATCATTGATTCGAATTTTTAAATCAAGAGAAAAATTTTAAAAACAATTATTAAAATTGAATTTATTTTCATATATTTATTTAAACGCGTTTACTGAATTTTTTGAATTAAAAATAAAAAAACTTACATGATAAGCAGATGGAACATGTTTACATTCTGGTATCTCGGGCAAAGTGCTAAATTTACAAACTTTACTCCAACGGTTTACAGCATCTTTGTAAAACGCGAAATACTTAATTATTTTTTTAAATTATATTAATATATGTATATTAAATTAATTAAATTAAATATTCCTTGTTAACAATTAATATTTTTTCATACGCAAGAAAAATTAATGAGACTTACATTTAAAAAGCGGCATTTTAATTAATTTCCTCTGAATTAAATTCTTATTTTATTTTAAATTTTGTCATTTGATTTAAATGATTATTTACAATTAATATTATTTAAGGATTTTTCGTTGATTGTAATTGACTAATAGTGTAATTTAAAAAAAGAATTGTACAGATAAATTCAAGTTGACCGTCTAGTATAAATGCGCTTTACGAACTATTAGTAATATACAGAAAGCGGCTTTAATTTGAAAGTAAAAAATTCTTGCCCACACTCCTTTCAAGCTCTGCACGTAGGCAACCATTGTAACGACTGTGATATAAAGTTATTATTCTATAGGCGACTGAAAAATGTCATTTATAATATAACAATTATGAAAAATTAATATTTTTTTAATAAATAAATTTAATTTGCATTAAATATGATTAATTAGTATTTTAATAAATTATTATTTACTAATTAATTATTAGAACTACTATTTATTAAATACATAATAAAATTATTAAAATTAAATAGATTTTACAAACTTTCTATTATTTACAAAAAATATTGGAACTACATATTTTAAAAAAAGGAAATATTTCAGTTCATTTTAAAACATAGAATTGATTTCATTTTTTAAATTAATGAAAGTAAAATAAAATGTTACGTTAATATATTAGTAGAAAATATCTAAAATTTGAATCAATATATATTTATTTACAAATATGTAACAATATTGTATAAAAAAAACAAACCAGGCTATCTTTCGTCGATTTCTTTTTGTTGACCTCTATTGTTCTGTGATTGTGGATCCGCTTCCAAATATTGGACATCTTCTTTTGTTGTTTGTTTCAATGTAAAGACAATGTGCAATTCACTTAAAACTGGATTATCTTTTTGTAAACAACGAATCCATGAAAGAACTGAATCTTTTGACGATGTTCCTGTGGCGCAAACGGAAAAAATTGTTTCATGTAATTGCTCATGAACACTAGGATAATTTATTATTGAAGTCTTCTTTACATCCCAAAATGATGGTTTAAAATTTGTAACATCTAAAACAAAAGTTTATTTATTATTATCATTTTTTATATTAATAAAAAAATTTCTTCTTTATCAAAAAGAATTTTTATGAAATTTCCAGTTTAATAACTTACCATCTGTGTCGACTATCGGTGGTTTATAAATATCGCTTTTTGGAATTTTTGTCAATAGAACAAAATAATCTACTGATTTATCTCTAATATAAACTGGGAAAGGTCCTTCGACATAAATGGCTTTTGTTCGTGGATGATGATTTTCAAGTAATTGTCTCTGTTTTGGTGTAATGGCTGAGACAATCCATGTTTTGTCAATAGAATCCTCAATAGTTTCAGTTTTAAATACAGTAATTTCTGCTTGTACATCGACACTTGAAATTTTCCATATTGCCAATTTCGCGAGTTCTAAAAGATCGTTTGGCAATGGTCGTGGCATTGGCCAGGGGCTGACATTTTTAAATTTTGGAAGCCAATACATCATTCTCCAATACTTTTGTATTGCTATTGATTCCTTGCCGAATGTATTTAATAGCATTTTTTCCATTTCTGCGTCCGGAACTACACCGTTATCTTCCATTTTATCTAAAATACAAATCGCACACTTTTGCTCCTTTGGATAATGCATAAATGCTGCTTGAATTCTGTTTCGAGGAAGCATTTTTCCTTTTGGAAAACAATCTAATAATTTTTTATAACATTCTAAATCTTTATCGACTCCAAATTCATCCATGTATTTCAATGCTGCATACATAAATTGAACGCGCTCTGTATGACGACCTGGTTGTCCTTCATATTTTCGTAAAACTTCCAAATACGTATCTTTACTTTTACTCTCCTTCTCATCAAATGAGTGAAGAGTGAGAGCTGTGTTGAAGTATTCCTTGTTACTTTCATCGTTTTCATTACTGTAAAATCGAAAACTAATATGACTTATTAATTTTATATGATATAATTCTTTCTTTTGTTGACATTCTTTTGATAATAAAGACCGGATTGATGAACAATTAAATAATTGTGACGATCTCTTTATTGCTGAGATCATTATTGACAAGTGTATTCAAAACGTGTATTAATTCACTGAAAACGTGCCTCGTATTTAATTGCTATAATCCATTTAGATAATCGTATGTTACTGTAAATATTTTCATGCTGTGGAGAAATTGATTCATTTTTTTAGTGATTGGTAAAAAATAAAATCAAATTTTTATACATAACCTACAAATACAATTTTACCTTTTGATGCGTTTCTTTTTCCTAAGAGATACAATGACAGTATTTTTTGGTTATTTCAATAAATTCACAAACTATTTATGTTCTTATAAAATCAATAATTAAATTTAAATAAACAATTTTCTCTAACCCACTTTTAGACACTGGGTAGCGCCATATTGTTTTTAATTTTTCCTTTGCAACTTCCGATAGATGACACTTTATCCTTCTCAGTTCTCTGTCAATAATGACTTAATTTAAATTTTTTGAATTTCTTATAAATTTTTATAACCTGATAGTTTAAAAGCTTTTTTCAAGTATTACTTGTTTTTTAATTAGAAACATAGTTATATAAAACAAATATCAATTATGATAATTTGCGCTAGTGTTGTAACTATACTTTATCACGTGCTACCCTCTACTAGACTAAACTATAACTAATGATCTTATGTTCACCGGTACCGGCTGGTTTTAATCAAAAAATTTTAACGGTTCTCTGGAAAATGAATGAGAAGGAAACAGGCATTTTCATTATAAATTAAATAACTACCCCAGTTAAGTAAATAGTTTCTATGAATACTTTCATGTTAAATTGTAGAGTATTCTAAAAAGTATATGAAGTAAGTATTGATAAACAATAACATAAATGTCTTGAGTTTATAACCTCATTTTTTGCTAATCCTTTGCTAATTGCAGATAATTTTGTATTTTCTACTTCTATATAGCTTTTCTCAGGTCCAAATTTTTATATTATGAATTTACTAGACGAGTGAGTATAGAAATTTTTTTTAACTCTTATATTATTATTGATATGGAATTATAACAGGAAACCAAATTTGAATACTTGATATTAAACGACGCATATTCCGTTACCACGTGATGAGTCAACAAAAAAAGTAATATTTCGAAATCAATTTTATTCGATGCTTATTTCTGATATGTTGGGAGCCAATTTATAGAATGTAGAAAACGTATTATCATATACATAAGAGGCTCGAAGAATCTACCATCCAGTACCATGTCATTACGTCAGCGCATCTGATTCTTTTTCTTCAGTCTTTGTTGCCTTAGATATTTATAGGAAAAATATAAAATCTTCACATATATCTTTATTATGTATCAGATTCTAAGAAATGCATTTCATTTTTTCGTACAAATATGACAAACTTATGAAACAATAATATTTAATAATTTAAAAACAAATTTAGCTTGAATTTTTGATTGATTTAAATTGTGTTCGTTTTTTATTATTTGCAAATTTCAATATTTTTTGAATGTTTTCAAAATTGTTGACAAGTTTTTGATGGTTTCAAAAATTTTTGCATCGTTTTGGCAATTATTTGACAAAATGAATGCTTTCCGTATTTATTAATTCGAAATACTCATTAGTATTTTCTTTAAGGTCCGATTATCATATTTGAGATGCTGTAAGAACCTGCGAGACATTATGCTACGAAGAAATTATTTTTCTATTGTGAGAAACAGGACGAGTATGACGATTGAAGCAAAAATTGATGATGTTGGAAATGGAAGAATTTTCGTGAGTAAAAAGATAATGATAATAGATACAATAACAAAATAAAAAGAACATCATCAAACGTAAATACAGCTTCGAGCCGTGCCGCTCTCTGCTGTATAAGTCCTGACCTTGTGGCATTTGGTACCTGCTGGTACCATCGCGCCAGCCGGCGCGCACACACAAACATGTTACCCCACAACTATACTTCTACATCGCCCCACTAGGATATCATTTCTCGTGCGATTGCCCCACTCACATCCCGAGTGCCCTGTGACTGTGGTCTCTGTGCCCTTACCTTATGCCTTTAACTTACCATGTAATGTGTAATGAGCAAATGCACGTACATATTCTTTAGATATATGTATGTATATACGAACCATCCGTGCCTTTCGATCCCCGGTTGATAGTTATGTACGTTTTCTCGCGAACACGTTTATTAGCTCGCAAATGCCAGAACCGCGGCGACCTTTCCTATTGTCCCGCGACGTAACATGCTCATCGTATACGTATATAGTCCCGATGCATAAAAGCGAAAAACACTAACAAATATTCATTTACAATAAAGAGACCTTTTACTTGCGCTCAGCTATGTGAAGGTGCATGAGTCTATTCCCTAATAAATATGACTCCAAATATATTTATTTAGTAATATTAAACTTCCTATGGTTGATAAAAAATAATCAAAATTTTTATTCATTCATTAATTGAGTAATTTACATAATTTTTTTATAAATTTTCACAGATGTAAAGAATATAAATCAATTTTTTTCTCCTAAAGCTAAAATTAACAATTTGAATAAATTATAATTTATTTAAAAATTCTTAGTATTAAAATTTTAAAAAATTTATGCTTACTAGGTATATTTTTGGAATAATTCCAATGCTTCATTGAAAAAATATTGCACAAAACACATGCATATCTCGATTTCCGTTTATTTGGAAGACATTTGTAATTATGTTATTGCATGAGCGCGCTTTCAGTATCTTAGATTTATAATTATAAACATTATACATTTATATTGTATATACATATATATGTATATAAGATTGCTTCATGTGTTTCTTTCATTCTTTCTTAATACCGTCCTATTATGTGAATATAATTCTTTTTTGCATTCACTGATTCAGTTGCACGATTTCAGTTCTTTCACTATCTCTCTCTCTCTCTCTCTCTCTCTCTTCCTTTCTCTTTCTCTTCGTCTATTAAAGAAGATCAAGAAACGATTTACAAGGTTCTATCGTTTGGAAATTACAGTTCCTCTATGCTAACCTTCGCGCTCAATTAACCAGCTTATTAATGTATTTTCAGACTAGCAATTCGCATTATCAGTCTCCAAAATTGGTTTCAATTTTCATATATTTATTTTACTTTTAAAATGATTGTTTATTTTTCAAGCGAACCAGATTCCTTGTGGTGCCTATAATAATATATATGTTCAAATCATAGTACCAAGAATATCACTCGGAAAATTCAGAAAATTTTAATAAATAAATTTTTAGAATAGACATAGAGAATAATTAAATAAAATTCTTTTTGGGAACTCAGTTTAGTACGTCTAAAATACACGTCATATCTAAAATTCATAAGTAATCATTATATTCATGTTATGAAATAAAATCTCAAGTCAGAGTTCCAATTACAACAGTGAAACAGTAGATTTAAAGAATAAAATCGGTTTTTTTTTTGCTTTCTTTATAAGGGAGAACAAAGAATTAATATCCTTGTCAAATTCTTTCTCTTTCTTTTGAAAGACATTTTTATAGAGAAATTATAACAACATTTGAATTTATCGTTCAATTCAAACTGTTAGCTTATTCGTGTTCTTCCTATGTTGTCTATCTCGTGTTTGTATTAACGGTATGTGTCATCATCAGGACTTTGGGTAGGCAACAGGTTTGGATTATTCTCAAAATTCATGCCTATTACTAAACTTCGTTCTCAAGTTTTGGAAAATTTTTTCTTTTATTATACACCTAAAAAAATGAATTTAACAATTTTTAATACTTGAACCTAATTTTCATAGCAATTTTCTGTAAATTTAGGTCAAATGGGTTCTTGATTATCTTCCACCGTCATTCATCAGTTTTTAATGACGGTATCATATTTCATAAAAAAAAACTCTAGACTTTATTCTCAAAACGTAGAAATTTGTAATTTATTATAACAATCGTTTCCCGCTAATATTCTTCAAGCTTTAATACTGGTATATCATATTTCATCATGCAAAATTCTAGACCTTTCAAACGCAAAATATTGTTGTTGTTATTAGAACAGTCATCTTCCGTTATCATCTTTCATATAGCTTTCAATAAAATAAAGGTCATATTTCGTTATTATACCAAAATAGATATCTTAAATTGTTATTGGACAATATTAATTATATTAAGGATAGTTTTAACTATTTTTATCAACAGTTGTGGTTCAACAACCTTTATAACCCAATAAATGATGGTTTTTAGTTCTGGAAGAAAGTTGTCTGCGCCATTGTTACCTGAAAAATCTACCTGTATATTCTCTATGTGTACGCAGTAGGAGAAAGGGAAGACCAGCCGGGGTACTTTGGAGGATTTAAAACATTTTTGAAGGATACCTTGTAAATCTAAAGATGAAGATTGTCTAAAGATAAACAGAGAGAGAGCATGATTCACCTGCTTCCAGAAGAGTCCCCATGGACCAGGAGACGACACTGTGAGTGTGTTTGTGATTGGTCCTCGCACCGGTCCTGCCGACGTGAGACCTCTCGCCGGTGTGCCGCCATGTTGCACCGCGCAATTCTTCGACTAGTCGCCTGCTGACCGCGACCGGGCTAACGTCAGCTTTATGAAACATGAACTGAATTCGAATGACTTCTCGTGTTGTTCTTCCAATTTTTTTTTAATTCCCTCCCCCCTGGTTCCTTTTTGGTTCCAAAACAAAAGTTGCCCTCCCTTTGCCAATTGAGGAATTAATCAAGAAGAATTGAAAAAAAAGTCCCACTCACTTCTGGCAGCCGCGTCGGTAGTTTGGTAGTTTCATCTTTCCGTGATACCACTTTTTTTAATTTTGGTTTATTATCCTTGGTCGAATCCCAATCTCAAAGTGATTCTTGGTGCGTGGCAGTGTGTGAGAAGAACCACGGGGGTGTGCGATGGCGCTGGCTGCGGAATCGCGGCGGCCCTGCACCGTCGCTTCCGGTGGTGATCGTGTAATCGGAAGTAGCGGAGGCTCCTACTTCCGAAGAATCAGGACATCTAGTCTTATCGTTCTTGGAATCTTTCTTCTTTCACGTGTGGCTACTATCAGTGCCATTAAAGAAATCGGTATGTTTATTCGTATTTCTTCTTTTTTTTTTTTCTTTAAAACATTCAACATTTTTCAAACTTTTAGAAAATCAGTGTATGTTGCTCAATCAATCTTTTATGTCGAGAAATCAATTTGTCAATTTCACGGTATGTTTGCGAGAAAGACAAAATTATAAAAAGATTTGAATTAAAATTGTTGCCAAGAATATATAGAATTTCAGACAAAATTTGGAAAAAATTACCTTCTACAATCTCAATCACTAGCGAAATTATAGATTCACGAACTACATATATACTTGTTCTCTCCTATAAAGATCGACCATTCACCTTTTACGTTTATTATCCTTTGCACGAATCGTTGCTCATGAAACATTAATATTCGTCGTAAACTTTTTTTTATGCAAAAAACGTGACCTAAAATTTCATACAATATAAAGAATGGTAAATTTTTGTTATAATTGAAAATCGAAAATTTCTAAAAAAAAAAAAATATAGTAAACTTTAAAAAACAAAAATTGAGTTTTAAAAATTAAAGAATAGCTTAAAGTTCGTTTTAGTAGAATTTAAAAACAAACTAAATTTTTAACAAAAATTTAAAAAATTGTAATTAATTCTATTTTTTAAAATACAATTATATGCATAGTGAAAGTATAGAAACATTATAAGTGATTGATTGCGAGAATCAATTATTTTTGATTCACAATAAGCAATAATTCTTTTACAATTGTATCTTGTAAATTTTTAACGATCCAGCGTGCAAATCGTGAAATCTTGAGGAATAATTTGACCTAGGATTGTTGACCTACACTCCTCGTGAAATCTCTTGCAATGGATTTCACACTATTCGACACGCTTCTGATGGATAAGTAAGGCGACTAGGAATAGTCTTTTTTTATTTACGAGAAGAACTTATATATATATTGGTGTCCACTACCGGGATGTCACTTTCTCGATTGGGATTCAAGTTGCAGTTAAAACCTGCAAAAGTATTAGAGAGCTACTGAGTGTATATTATTCGAGGGATAGAGAGAGAGAGAGAGGCTGAAAAATATCTAACGGAATACTTTTTTAAAACCGCAATTTTATTTCTTTTATTTGTGAAAGAATTATTGTGCGCGAAAATCTACATTTTTTCTGCTTTCGATTTAAATCGTTTCAAAAATTACTTTTTTAATGGAAAATAAATAGATGATAAATATTTGACTATTACTTCTCACTGAAAAGAAAAATTTCTTTTGACAACAAAGTTTTTTTGTTCTATACCCTACACTAAAGTTTAAATCAATCAATCAATGTAAAATTTCAAAACTTAGAAGCATTGAACGTAAAAATTGATTATACTTTATTCAATTTTCTTCTTGCATTATGCGAGTGATTCAAGGAAAAATTTTTTAAATCATTTCTTAAGAGCTTTATTCTCTTAAATTGTTTCCGTTCAAATAGACGGAAATTTAATGATTTTTTAACAAATGTTATCAAAGAGTATTAAAAGTAATTTCTGAATGAATAAATTTCAGAGTCACCAAGAGACCTAGCCACCACAGGCTAAAGGTTAATTTAGTTTGTTACATTTTTGGGTCATGGTTCTCTCTCAATAAGTAATATTGATCAATCAATATAGATTTTCGTCTGTTATTTGTGTAAGAAATTATTATATCAACTTCAAGTGGCATTTTTACGTTTTTACCTGGAAACAATTTATTTTTATATTTATTAAATTTTCGTTTTTTGGTTTATTCGATTTTATATAACAAGTGATCCTAAATGCTTTTAAGAGACACAAATTTAACTAAAGAAATATTAAAAGGTGTATTGAATTTTTAAAATGAAGTAATAATATCTCACATTTGGACTTGCAAACGAGATTATTTACATTTTTGCTATAGTCAGATTAATTTGTTGCTGTCGTCCAGATAACCACTATGAGATAACATTTCCTTGCAGATAATATTTATGAATATTATTTTTTTTACCTTCACTGAAATAGTAAAAATGTATATTAAATTTAGAGGATTCTATAGACTTTCTCAAATTTTTATTTTGTCATTACTAAAATTAAAATTGTATTAAATTTAAAAAAAGAGGAATTGGCTTAAATTTAATTAACAACGAAATAATCTTATATTGACCTGCACTGTCCCGTACTTATTACACAATTTACAGAGGATGCAATTCAATTTTAAGTCAATTAGCAATCTAGCTTAATTACTTACGTTATTGAAACGTATACAATTTTAAGAATTGTACACGATAAAGCATCGTCATTAATTTTTCGAGTCCTCATTTTTCCTATTGTGCAACATTGAGTAATCAAAAGGATGTTAACTCAAAAGTTTGATTAATAACCATTTTTTTATTTTAACAATCGTGATAAATTTTTAATTTTTCTTTTAGTTTCAGTTTCAAAGAATTTATATATTTTAACATTCATTTTTCTTAATTTTTTCTTTTTACTTAACTTCATTTCTTTTGAATATTTAATATATTCAATAGATATTTTTTTAGAAACTCGTGCGCAAAGGAATCAAAGCTTGTTTGGCAAATTGATGAAAGTTGAATTTTAGAAGCATTTGTAGGTTCAGAGAAAAAAGGTTTATTATGCTCTTTTGTTTCACTTATCTTAAAAGTTAAAACGATTATTACTCTACTAGCAATCAGTCAGTGGGACCAATTAGTTCTATATTACTTCAATTCGCTTTTCTCCTTCAAAGTTTCTCCTACCCGCTTCCTGGTTTTGATAAAGCAGAATCAGTTTCGCTCAATAATAACTTTTTTAGATAGTAAAATTATTTTAAAATAGCAATCTTTCCGCCTGTATTTTTGTATTTCAACACTTACATCACTCGCATTAATTTTAATATTTCATGTATATATATTGTTTGCAAAATTACTTCACAATGCTTTTCCATTTCTTCACTTTCTCATTTTTTTTATCAAGTATATTTGTGTTTAAAAAACATTTTTTTTGTTCTATACCAATTCTACTATTTTTTAAAATTTTTATTCAGAGAGAATTTAAAACTTAATTATAAATTTACGTTTAAATAAGAATGTGTTTTTTTCGAAAATTTCCATGAAGCTCTTTAAAAACACACGACTTACGAAACGAACAATTAATTAAACATATACTCTTTTTCATTATCACTGTAAAGTTCCGATGAAATCATTTGTGAATATTCCGAAGGAAACTCGCGAGTATTTTATAGAGGAGACAAATCGATTAATAAATCTGTTTTTGATCACTTTAAAGTCTTGTTTAATCTTGATGAAGCTTATTAAAATTTCAAGGTCGACGACTTACGGATTCTATAAACCGTTTGCATATATATAAGCAAAATAAACAGATACAAGTCAAATCCTTTCCAATATACGAAAGATTGCAACGAAAATTTTTATACCAACAATAAACGATTTATTTCAAATGATATTTATTAATTGATTGTTAATTTTACTCTTTACATTCTTTTAAATTACAATCTCTTTAAGTGCATTATCTTTTGGACTAAAATCCGTATAAAATTAATATTCTTTTTGTACATAGTTTGATGGGATTATTTGAAATAATTTTTCGAGAGATTTAAAAATCTCACTTCAGTTTAAATGAAGACTGGCTTTATTTTAAGAAACATAAGTGAATATTTATATCTGAAGGAAATTAAATAATAATACCCTCGCGGTTATTAATAAATGCGCGCAGTGTGGACGCGCTAATTCAAGCGATAGATATTTTTTTGTCGGAGAGCATTTACCGTTCCCGAACCACCTGTTTCATGATCGGTAATCTTCCCTTGGTCTACTTTTCTTCTTCTTCTTCTTCTTTTCCCCTTCCTTTTTTGTTTTGGGTGCGCCTCTTTCTTGAGTCTCTCTTTTCCATTGACGTGGGGGAGATTCTTTTATTCACCCAATATATAAGAATTTTCTCCTATTCAAAACTGCAGATGAGACTGGACCAAAGGGCTCTCCAAAGATCGTAATCGCTTTACACGAATGCTACACTTGATCCTGAAACCGGTTTCATGAGGATTCTCAAATCGAGCACGCACGTATTAGGCTCTTCGCAGTGCGGTTGGGTGTGAATGGAGAATGTGTGTGTGAAACGCAGGGGAAATACGTAGTCGAAAAATAAGTAGACCCGCGACTCATTGTTCAACGTGAGTCGAATCCCTAATTTCATTTTTTTTTCTTTTCACAACGAACGAAAAAGCATTCTCTTTATGAAACTTATACATCTCTTGGTTTATACAGTAAACCAAACGAAAATTTTATTTTTGTCCCTTTTGAGTAATCTTGATTATTTATTTAGCAGTGTAAATTGTCAACCAAAATTTGGTTCATACAACCAAATTCTTTCTTAGGTCGGTAATTTATTATTTATTCAACTGGACTAAATATTTATTTTGATTCAACAAATTTTGTTTAAAATAACCAGAAAATTCTGTCTATTCAATTAATTTTCCACTACATATATTTTTCATGATGTGTAAAATAAGAAAAATCAAGAAACAAAAAAGAAATTACTCGGTAAATGTAATGAATAAAATTAACTGGGGAAAACGGTGTTGTGCATCAGGGAATTTTATATTAAAGGCTTTAGAGTCGATCTTCTCATTTCATTTTGACCCTTTTTGTTGACCGGTGCATTTTATTCTTCCTGGGGAAATCCTAAAATTAACTGTGGGATTTTATCGTCTAACTGGGAATTCCGTGTTTAAAACTAGTCTGATTATTTTGTAAATAAAACAATTTTTTATTTTTACTTTATTCTCTTTTTCAATTTTTGTAATGAGATACTTTCTTGAAATGTTACTTTAAAATAACAATTAGAAAGTTAGGAGGAGTTTTTTTTTAGTCAAATATAAATTCATTTGAGAATCTTTAAAAAAAATTTTTGATTACAACTACCATTATATATTTTTATTTTTCATAAAAAAATGTAATTTAGATAATTTTTACAATGATAAGTACTTCCAGTTCCGTTGGCTGCTAAAGAAACTTTTCTTGTTCATTGGAGTAGAATA